TTCTCAATAAAATTATGGAAAAAAAGATATTCAAATATTCTTAAAGACAGACACGCCTTGCCAGTACTTTTTCTATTCTTCCTACAAAACAGTAAGCATAGAGCCAAGTTCCTCAGAGATTCTGAAATGTTTACTTAAAGAGAGTGGTAGTAATCTCCCAAACCCCACCCTTTTATTAGGTACATATCTTTGCTATTGTCCTAGTTGCCTTGAAAATTTTTTGCAAGCTTTACTTTTCCTATTATAAATTGTCCAAGAGTTAGATAAACAAGGAATATCTAGAACTATACATTACAGGGATCTTCCATAATTATTCCAGTACGTTTGCAACGTCAAACAATAAATTGTAAGTGAGAAGGCTGAAGAGTAGAAAAACTATAACTATGCATTTGGTTTAAGCAACTTAATGAGAGCTACTTTTAAAAAAATCTAAATATTGATATGTCAAGTATTTGCTCTTACAAAATGAGACCCAAATAAAATATAAAAATTAAGACCTCCAATTTTTAAAATAACTTCAGAAGCATGGGTTTTAAAAAATCATAAGCAGTAGAAATAGTCACTAACACAATGACTTACCACTCTATCATCTCCAGGTGCTTCTGTATTTGAGATAATTAAGTTCTGCTGCGCTAAATCTTCAGGAAATTGTTTCCCTTTTCTGGTATTGACAACTCCACATACTAAAGTTAGCAACACAGCTAAGTTTAAAAAGAAAAAAACTTATGTTAACATTCATCGAATATAATAATATTCCTTTATTTCTTATTACCAATGGGCTACAGGAGAAAAAGGAAAACTACTAAAGTATGGTTTCCCATGAACTACCTTGGCCTTTCTAAATTAGCAAGATACATTTTAGCTTAGACTTTAAAATCTGTATGTGTATTTTTACAGTTTATCTCTCTGTTTAAAGGGGTTGAATTCTGCCCACAATGTTAAATTATTTAGAAGCAGAATGTATTACCACATTTAACAAATCACTGACATTTATTTAAGTCCCAGATGTTGATGAGATTCACTGAATCTATAAAGAATGGTTTGCCTATAGGAAAATACGACATAAGAAAGTCTTTTCTCAAGTAGCATTCTCTCCAAGAGTGCGAACTAAACCTCATTTGTCTTTGTCCATTGAGAATTTTTATTCTGGATCATAAGTATGCAAGGTTAAAATATAACATAATAAAATCAATAATAACAACAATGCTTTACAATGTTCTACAAGACACCAAAGACCAAGCAAACAATGGCCCTAAATCCAGCCTACCATGTTTCTCTAAGGCACGTGAGCCAACCCTTTGCATTTTGAAATGGATGGAGAAAATCAAAAGAACAACAGTAACAGTTGATGGCATAAAATCTGCATGAAGTTCAAGCTTGAGCATCCCTCTCTCGAGTCTCACTGGAACACAGCTACGCCTTTCATTTCCCCATTTGTGTTGGCTTGCTTGCTTATCGCCAGGGTCAATTCCATTGGCTTCCACAGAAACCACCTGATCTGCAAGGCTTAAAACACAGACTGCGCAGTCCTTCACAGGAAATGAGTGCTCACCCTCACCTATCAACGTGCTACCTTCCGGACCCATTTCTTAGTTCACCTCCCCTCACCCATACTGCCTGGCTGTATCGCTCTTCCCATTAGGCCCTGAATTCTTCAGACACAATCCCCAACCTTGGGACCTCGGCACTGACTTTCCCTCCAACTGAAAACTCTTCCTCCAGGGTCTTCCACACAGTGGCCTCTCTCAACTGTTTCAAAACTAAGCAGAGATAGTTTTTTCATTAGGCCTAATGTAGCCACCTACTGAAAACTGCAAACACTAGCCCAGAACACATACACACACACACAAAAAAAAAAAAAAAAAAAAAAAAAGTGGTTATTTTGCTATCTCATCAAAGCATTTAAATTATTTCTTCTAGTGTCCAAAGGCATATTATTTTTTCAGTTTTACCAGTTTTCTTCTATGATAAATTCTAAGCGTCTAGAACAGTTTCTGACAATTAATAGATTGGTTTGGTTTGGTTTGGGGTTTTTTGTTTGTTTTTGTGTAACTGGGCATTGAACTCAGGCCCTTGCACTTGCCAGGGAAGTGCTTATCCTACTGAGCTATCTCCTTGGCCCCTAGATGTTTAATATAGATTTATTTTGGTGGGGTGGTAAAAATAAGGATACTTAACAGAAATTTCCCATGTACCAATCGAAGCACGTCACACATACTAACTCAAGGCTGCGCGCTACCTCACAGAGTAGCCTGCCACCACTGTCCCCTTTCACAGCTGAAAATGGATCTCCATTCAGTAACTTGCCCCAGCCCTGTAGCTTGCAGGGGAGAAGGCAGTCTGCTTCCAGGGTCACACTCTGGGAACCATACGAATGGAACGGGGAGTCTAAGGATTCGCAACAAGCAACCTATGCTCAAGGTGGAACCCCCATGAGCTGAGCATTTCTATGGCTGAAAAAGTGAAAAGAGGTGAAGTAACAGTTGCTGTTTAGTAGACCCAGATACAACAGGAGTTTTAGGTGGCTCTATTTGGCCCTAAAAGGAATAGCACTAAGATAAAAATGAATAAATAAATAAATAAATAAATAAATAAATGCTATACATTGGCAGATTTGATGCAATCTAAGGAATTTGTATTAATTCTGTCCAGATATGAAATTCTTTTTTTATGTATTTAGTATAGGATCTCACTTTGCAGCTTGGACTTGTAGTGCTCCTCCTGTTTTCAGCCTCCCCATCGCTGGGATTACAGGCATGCACCAGCAGGTCCAGTCTCAATGGCTGGCTCAGTGTGTCCAGGGGTGGGGCCGGTGCTGCATGTGGTACTGGGGATCAAACCCTGGGCCCTGCACTTACCTTAGCAGGTACTTAATGCACCAGATAAGAACTGTCTATCTCAAGAACCATGTTCCCTTCCACAGGAAACAGTCCAACCTAGCTGAGATACCAAAGGAACCGGTAAAGGGAATCACATCTGATGTGCGCTTGAACAAGATTCCCTTTTAAGGATCTTTTCCTGACTCAACCCTTTCATTCTGCATCTTAACTCCGAATAAGTGAACAGACTTACAAAGCAGCAGGGCTATGCCCAGTAAGATGGCAAGGATGGCCCATTTGCCCAGCACCACTCCTGAGCGCCGTGCAGAGGAGACACACTGACTCGGGTGACTACAGTCACACAGGTTGACCCGCAGCACTTTGGTTGAGGATTGGCCACCTCTATCTTTCACAGTAACAGGAACCATATATTCTTGAAGTTGGGCATTTTTCTGATAAGCCAGACGAGCAGCTGTATCTGTAAGAAAATAAAATATTTTTTATTTTTAAAGATCGCTTATTCTTCCCTGGGGATCTATTCACCTTGTCTTCAAAAAGCATTAGTCTCAAGGAATTGCCTGCTACGTGAAAATAAGTACAAATGGAGGGCCATCTTCAGCCTTTCAATCACTCATGTTATGTTCCACATTGCTCTATATAAGTCTACAAAAGAGCCATAAAGAAATAATTCAAGGTTGGAGCAATCCAGTAGCATTCCAGCAGTGTTTCCAGTTCCTTTTGCTATAGAAACTAATAAGACTATATTGGCTCTTAACATACAGGTCAAGTATCATTCTTTAGTACCAGTTCATTCACGTACAAAGATTTAACACCTACAGGTACACACAAAGGATGTCTTTGATTCAAATTCTCTTCTCCACTTAACTTCAGGTACCTGTCCATTATCCTTATGGATAAAGAAATTTTTCAAGGCACCCAACAGAACCTTCATGATTAAGGCTCTGCTTCTGGAAGTAAGCTCAAGACCAGTAAAAGCTAATTATAACACTGAGGCTACTTGTAAAGCTTACCCAAAAAAGCAGATACAATGACACTACAGCCATTTGTTTTTATCAACTGTGATAGTTAACTTTCCCCAGTAGTCTTGCCACTTTATTTTAATGACATTATCCTCATCTAAGCAAAAGCTCCACCAACTTCCAGTGGCAATTACAACCTCCTTAACTTTTTATAATAGGCTGGATAAAATGACAAAGCAGTACCATGCACACACTGGAAGTCATCTAGAATCTCTATGCCTTGATTAAATGTGCTGTTAAGCTGGAAGAACGTCAACAATTCCTGCTGCACCTCAGACCTGAAAGCCCCATAGAGGAATGTGAATTACTGCCTAGGATCGTTCGGGACCCTGCAGGGCCATAAATGTCTCAGGTAAGATTTTAAGTGTCTTTTCTCCTTCAAGATCACCAGCTGAGTCACAGCTGCCTGCTGAACTCATGATGCAGCAGGCTCCCATCTTCCTTATCACTCAATGCTGCCTCTTCAAATTTTCTCCTGTCGCCAACACTAACCTTACATGACATAAACCCATGTATAGCATTCATTGGGCATTCTCAAGCCATGCTTGCAGTCACCTACAGGGCAAATGTCACCTCCTCAGCCTGGCCCTTGAGATTCCACACGTTCTCCCACACAAACCCTCAATATTTCTCATCGAACCAATTTACATATTTCTCTAGTATCTCTCTTCCTTTGTGCGTATCTTTTATGCAAAGATGGGTTAAACACATTTTAAGCATTATCTACTGGGCACCGTGTAAGTAGTGGACATAGAAGCATTCCAAACATCCTGAGAAACTCCCGTATCAGAGGAGGAAGTGCACGGCTGGTGAGTGAGATGAAGAGCGCTACGACACAGACATCACAAGGTCACTGTCATTCCTTGTACTTCAAGAAAACGTCAGAAGTTCAGCAGCTAGGCTGTGTCTCTTATTCATCTCTCTATACATCCTCAGGGACTGGAATAATTCCTGATAGATGGTAGGTGCTCAATCAACATTGTGAAGGCATATCAAAATCAAATAAGAAAGGAAGTAGTCTGGGAAGAAGGGGCACCATGCAGAAAATTCCAGCAGCACAAAGGGGAGGACACCACAATAAAGCCAAGGAGAGGGGTACGGGGAAAAGGCAGAATCTTATCTACATCCTCTGCTATCAGAGAAGACAGCCCCGGAAAGCCCCAATGGCAGACCCCTGTTCACATCCACCGTGGTCCTTTCCAGGACAAGGAGCATGACTGTCCCACACCCGGGCTCCTCCCTTCGAGACCTGTTTGCAATACACGTAAATGACACTTCTGATCTCTCTACACTTTACTGTTATTGTTATGACTTTTTCAAAAACGACCAAAAAAGTTCATCATAGTAAGTTACCCAATATTTAACAAAGATTTTTTTGCCTCCAAGAATGTTATGATTTCCTTCATTTTACTAAGGTTAAAATATAAATTACTTCTTTGTTGTTGTTGAAGCAATGGAGATGGAACAAAAATGCAGTCATCGCAGAGTGTAAAGGACTAACCTTCTAAAACTCAATTTTGTGTCACGTTTTATGTATATAAACAAACAAATCTATTCTCTAGTTTTTTGGGTTTTTTTTTTTTTAGAGTGTATAAATCGTTTTTTTTGTTGAATACCATTAACTTTGCTGAGGGTCCATATTCTGCTGACTTCCGCAGACGGGTTTGCCAAGCTGAAGTGAAATGGTGCTCCATAGACGGGGTCGTCGGGGTCCAGAGCTGAAATGTCAGTATATGCCATCTTTTGTTTGCAAATGACAACATAATCCTGGAGTATTTCTGGTGCATTGTCATTGACATCTTCAATGGTCACTGCAAGTGTCCCAGTACACGATCTACTGTCTAAGCAAAGAAAGGAACAGGGTTAGTACTGTTGTCACATTTTTGTTTTGTAGTTTCTTAACACGAAACCAAGGATGCGATAATGCAGGTTACTGTTTCGTCGTTGTTGAAGAGCTGGGGATTGAACTCAGGGCTATATCCCTAGCTCTTTTTATAAAAACCAACCCAAACAAACAACAACAACAACAAAAAAAAAAAACACTACAACTAAGTGGTTAAGCTGCCCATACTGAATTCAAACTTGTGATTCTAAGGTCAGCCAGATGGCTCAGCAGACTAAAGTGCCTGCTTAGGCAGAGCACAGGTCCCCGGCGTGCTGTGCCGGCCCCGCCCCCAGGGGCACACTGAGACAGTGATTGGCACTGGGCATGGTGGTGCACATTTAGAATCCCAGAACTTGGAAGGCTGAAAACAGGAGGATCACTATGAGTCCGATCTACACAGTGAGACCCTCAACACCCTGTAGACCCTGTACCAAGTACATTAAAAAAAAAAAAAAGTGATTCTTCTGCCTCAGCCTTCCAGGGCAATAGAATTAGAAGCCTGTGCCCACATGCCTGAGTGACTTGAAGGAACAGAATTCAAAAACAGAATCATTTTAACCTAATAAGTAGCTGAATTAAAGGCTCAACTAAAGAGAGACACAAAGAGAACTGGAAGTATCGAATGAGACCATTTCATCTAGCCTTATATTTCCATAGGATCAAAATATTTTCTCTTTGTTCTTCACCAAAGAACTGCAGAACAACTTGAGGTCCTCCATGCTGAGAAAATAAAGATAAACAGAGGTGGCTCCTGTGGTAAATCACTGTGGCCTTGCTAGATGGTTAAGAGAGGGTGGAACAGAGGCTCAGTGGCTTCTACGAGGTCCACATGCTGATCACCAGCACAAAACTCGCATCTATTTATTCTCCAATTCATTCATAAAATTCTAGATTAAAGCTTTTGTTTACCTTTGTCTATTACCAGGACTGTGACATTGTATAACTCATTCTGGGGAGCTGCAGTCTCTCTGTCCAGAATTTTGGAAAGTGTGACTGAACCTGAAGTTTCATCGATTTTGATCCACTCTTTAGGGTCATGTAATTTTTTGTATCTGTTAATAAAAAATTAAAATATAAGCTTTGGCATCAAAGTAAGTTATAAAATAAGTAACTCCATTATGACATACACCATTACATGGTTCTAACTTTCTTTGTACCTTAGGCCATTGCTGTTTTTACTTTCAGGGTCATATGCCTTATAGCCATTGATCTTTGACCCCACCGCCGAGTTTTCCTTAATCCGCACATATTGGGCTGCAGGGTTACACTCAGGGCCCTCGTCCTGGTCCCTCACATAGACAGTAACCAAGGCTCGGTTCATCGATGTCACTCTGGTTACTTCTCTAGTAAATGGAGCTTCGTTGTTCACTCCAATTTCTAGGACCACCTGACGATTTTCTTCAAAGTTCAGTGGCTTTAAAATAAAGGACAGGTAAAGCATCAGTATAAAACCCATTCAATATACAAAGCAGCAATGAACTTAGTCAATATGAACAAGCTGACACAAAGCACAGTCGCATTTTGTCCTTCACGATTTTATTCCTTACTAAAAACAAAGGTGATCCTTCAATACTAAGTCATTAGAAAAGAGTGGCCCCAAAACTTTCTGTGGTGGCTCTATAGAGTGGTGGAAACAAAATTCCTGGGACATTTTATATTTCCTTCTTATGAAGAAAAATTATCCTGAACACAAGAATATTGCACCATGGTGACAATGCATCACAGGCTGGCCTGAGGGTCACCTGGCTCCATGAGAAGACAACTGTTTTTACTACAACTTATGGCCTGATCATTCCATAGCTCCTGTAATGTTAGATTTGGGTTCCATAATGGAATAAGCGTAGTGATTTTATTTTCGGTCCAATAGGATAGACAGTCCAAATGCCTGCTTTAAGTGTCATCTAATGTCGATGTGAGCATCTCATTTTAGCTTTTCCTTGAATCAAATTCTATCCAAGGTCTCACTTCTTAAGAATCAACTTTGTAAAAAAAAAAAAAAAAGAATCAACTTTGTCTTTTCACTGGTTCCTTCACAAATGACTTAAGTAAAACTTTTAGCCATGCTTGCTGCTTATTATTATGAAAATCACACTGTTGACAATCTGCAAATAATATTTTGTCCACAGTTTATCCAAGAAAACTCACAGTGGAAACACAGAAGAGAGAGAGAAATATGGGGGTTCATGACAGTCATCTTAGATAAACAGACATGCACTAAGCAGTGAGGCTGAAGTCACTCATTTTTCCTACTTTTATGAGTTAAGGGTGACAATAGTCCCCCTTACAGACCAGAGCTCAGTATACTTAATCATAACTTGATTTTTGGCAGAAAGCCCCACAAAGCCCATAAACACTATCTTTCCACATACTGTTAAGACAGAAGCGCATTTTCTCAATTTCTCTTTCTACTTCTCGAAACAATCATTGGGTAAACATTGAATGAAATCAACATGGATGAAGAAAATTGCTTCAACCCTGTCCTTCCAGGTAATATGAGCAAAGCAAAATACAAATACTCATGAGTCCTCTAAGAAGTCAAGAAAATTTCTGAATTTCAAAATTCACAAGATGTACGTGATCCTTTTATTTTTTTATGAGTATCCCAGAAACTGGGGCATCAAGAAGAAAAACTATTACTATCTTTTTATTTGACGCTGGTGCTGGTACAGCCACAAAGACAAGAGAGCCGAGTGTTGGCCGGATGGAAATGCAGGGCCCAGCTGTGGCCCTGGAGGAGACCCAGGTATGTCAGCCAGGTCAGACAACTGGAGGCTTAGTTTCTTTGTGCAGTTTTTCAGGACTTGAGGTATATATTGTCTAAGTTGATTAAAACTCTGAAAGATCAGTAATCTAATAGAATGAAATACTAATGATTGATGAATGGATGTAAATTATTTTTCACTTCAAGGTCCGTTCTTGTTTCGTTCCCTTGAAAATACTGCTCAAAGTTCCCTGTGCCTGCACTGAGAAGCTGACCTGGAAGAAGGAGCATCAGGGAGATGGGAATGAGGGCCTCCACACTAGCAATGGCCAAGGCAGTGGCCCCTCTCGGGTCTGCAGACACCACTGCTGCTACTGAAGACTGAAATGGAGAGATTAGGCCCCAGCATCTCACTCTACAGTCACAGAAAACTTAATCCATTATGGGAATGTATAACACTAGTCCCACGAACATGGTTCAACTTTTTAAAAATAAAGCAGTGGCTTACCAAGTGTTTTTACTTTTATTATAACTGAAGAGCAATTAGGGAGGCAGAGAAAAGTATTTCCATTTTATAGGTAATACAGAGGCCAACTTTCCAAGGTCACATGGCTGAGTGAAGCAACTTAACATAGTACTTAAGAATATATCCTCGGAGTCAAGGACTTTGTGCTGGCCAGGAAGGCACTTTTGCCACTCAACTACCTCCCCAGTTTTCTAAGACTTGGCATGAAATATGGAAAGAGAGATATAATGTGGTAAACATAAACTGTATTAATCAAAATCTTTACAAATACTGAGTGACCCAGAGAGGGTAATGTTAATCTCCAAAAAATAGAAATTAAAGTTCTGATAAGAGAAGATACCCTTGTGCCAACAAAGTCATTGCTTTATCCACCCAAATAAGCCAGTTATGGAAAAGAAGAGACACAGGAACCGAGGACACCAAGCGGGAAGAACAGCACAGGAATTTAGGTGCAGCAGCACATGCCAGGCGGGTGGGGTCTGTCTGCTGGCTGCATGAACGGAGCTGTCTGCCATGGATACGTAAGACAGCCGACTGCCTGAACACGCATGGAGGGTGGAGGAGGCTGAGGCACCATCTTAGCTATTTGACTTCGATATATTACATTGTTTTCACTCAGCTATTTCAACTGTGGATGGCAAGGGACAACAGCAACAACCACTAAGAATTGTTGTAAAGATCAAAGAAATCTTTTAATTCAATGATATCAGAATATTTGAATGCTGTCTTGGAATACAAACAGATGAAGGAAAATAAATTATAAAGCAAGCATAACACTGATAGTGAAATTTGATAGCAATGGTACAAAAACAGAATGATAGACAAATCCCATTTGTGGATATGGATGGAAATCTTAGACACAAATTAGAAAACACTCAACAGGAATGAATATTAAAATATAAATCTATCACGTAAAAATAGCCATGTCCTTGACTAAGCAATTCCCTTCTAGGAATTTATCATAGATTTAAGTTGCAAATTGTAAAATGGTATATATACACATTTATTCATTTTAGCATATTTGGAAGGTTAAAATTTTCACAAACGTTTAGAATTTCTATTGATATGGCCTAAATTTCCATTTGTATAGAAACGATTAAAAATATCTGATATATACATCATGAATATTATGTTCCCTAGCTATAGAAATGAGAAAACTTTTAACATTAAATATGTAATGGTGTACAGCAATTAACCACTAAGAAGAATATATGCAGTGTATTATTTGTTGAAACTGTACTTCCGATTTGATTTGAAACTGTCTCATTGCTATATGTTTATCAATAAAACTGTAGAAAAAAAAATATGTAATGGCCTCAGAGATAAGCTGTTGGATAAGGTATAATGCTCTACACTACCTAATGATAGAGTCTGAATTTCCACAGATATTCACAGGTTAAAAAAACAATAGGTCCACACCATAAAACATTGCAAATATAAATGTGATAATCTTGGAGATCTGTTAAATGAAGAACATATATTTGTTCAAAAAAAGAAACATGGTAAAAATTACTTGAACATATTTTTGCATACATGGATGAGAAAATTATAACATTTATTGATTCTTCCCAAAAGAACTGAGTGCTTCAAAGACCAGCCTGAAAGTGGGACTTTTCACTGCATGGCTTGGCTTTGAACTTCGACTATTCTGCAGGGGCGGCTACCTTTTTAATTACCAGGACACACACCTGATAGCCACAACTTCAAGGAGACATTTGTCTTGGCTCGTGTTTTCAGTGAATGGTTGCTGATTCCAAGGCAGTCTGGAGCAGAGGGAGGTGCTCGCATCATGGTGACCAGGAGGCAGAGCAGAGAAAGGAGAGGCCAGGGGAAGAAGCAAGCCTCCACTCACGCCCCATGGACGCACCACTTCCATCCAGCAGCCTAACAGCACATCAGCTACAAAAGCCACCCTCATGCTCCAGTACAAAACCCCACTTCCAATACCCTGCCTCTGAGTGCGTGAGCACTTGGAGGGACCTCCTAGGTCTAATTTGCTCTTTAAATTAAACATAAATAATATATTAATTGATAAGTTAAACAATAACGTACTAACATTTGAAACAAGATACATGTTAAGCACTTGCCATGCTATCTTGCATTGAATAAATAATAAATGTTAGTCGTTATTGTTTTTCTTGCTTTGTGGTACTTGGTACGACACCCTCAGCCTTTAACCTGAGCCACACACCCAGCCTTCTTTATTGCGTATTGACACACTATCTCACAAAATTGCTGGGACTGTAGATGCGTGCTACCACGTCAGGCCCCATTAACGCTCACGTTGATTTAATATCCCAGTATGCACATGCAAGAATAATTTAATTCTATGATGAAAGGCAGCAAATAAACACTGTGAAATATTGAATCTGAAGTGCTGTCTGGAGCTAACGGGGCATGGAATGCTGTAAGAGAAAGACAACTGACTATGACTACAGATTAGATTCGTATTCCAGGGTGGATGACACAGGAAGATGCTTTACTTTGGAGAGCGGATGTGCATCCCTTACGGTGATGATTGTTGCTGTTGTTACTGTCATTGCTATAAACTGGGGACAGCAACACTCTATCCTGCAAGACACGTAAAAACCTGGCTGGGACTGTAGGCCAGTGGGCGAGCTCTCAGCTGGCATGAACGAGGCCCAGAGCTCCATAGCTAGCACCACAAGACAAAGAAGGGGCTCAGCATGTGTGCATGTGCGTGTGTGTGTGTGTGTGTGTGTGTGTGTGTGTGGTTTGTGGAATTAGATAAACTCTACCACTGAGGTGTAATTCTAGTCTCAAAATTTTAATATAAGTGAAACTATATAACATTCAAAAATAATGAAGATAATGGAACATACATTTTACCAGGGAGAAAAAGTTAGTATTTTTATATCTTTCACATATAAAATCAGTTACACTGAACTAGACAGAAGGCAGGAAAATGTATGATCTAATCGCTGTCCCAAGATTTAGCTCGCCAGATTCAGAGTTTCTTTCTGTCACGGTTCATGTCTATTGCCCGCCCCCCAAAGCCTCATGCAGTCACTGGGGCAGCTGCTAGAGTTTGTGATTAATTCATGATTTGATGCTGGGATTATGGGTGTGAGTGCTACACCTGCCCTGGCGCAGATAATCTGCACACAAATGTACGTGAGGGAGAGAGGCTTGCTAGCAGCCACGCTGCTGCTGCTGCTCCCTCTGCTCTTCGTTGTTTTCTGCCACCATGAGCTGCTGCCCTCTGCCATGTGCCAGGCTGCCTTGGGGCCAGCCGAGCATGGACTGAAACCTCCACTAACTGTGAGCTAAATAAAGCTTTCCTTCCTTAATTGTAGGTGTGAAGTATTTTGTCCCAGCGACTACAGAAGAGCAACCGAGACACCTCCGAAGCTACCGAGGTCCTTCAACAGATGGCAGGTGTTGCCAGCCACAAGTGCAGGGGCACTTATCTCCAGGACATGCAGAGCAGGGCTCAAGAGTGAAGCTGACAGATAAACATGCCCAAGGCGCCATCCTGGAGGAGCTAATGCTATGTGCAGCCTGAAATGCCTGAACAGCCAGTACTGCACACACACTTGGCTGTTCGTCCTTCTTAGTCTTAACTCCCCATTTTTACTCTGGCTTCCTGGAGCTACTCTTCTAAATATCTATCTACACTGAAGTCCTTATCGTGGGCTTGATTTTCTGGAGAGTTGGAAGGAAGATGCACCAATAAAGAGGGAAGACAGCCAGTGCTATTCTCTTTCCTCTAACTCTCAGTAATACAGCTCCCTCTCCCTGCTTCTGCCTCTCTCCTTCCTCTCCTAACCGGCCTCCTCTTCCTCCAGTAGCTAGTTTTTCATGTACAAGTCAAACAAGTCACATTATAGAATACTCAAACAGGTTAGAAGTTTGATGTGGAGAGTCCATATTTGCCTATGAACATCTGAATAGAACATGAAAAGCCTTAGAATTTAATCCCTAAAAATTATTACAGAGGAAACAATTAGAAAAAGAGAAGCCTATATACCAAAGATGTTACTATGTCATATTGACCGGTAGTTCCCTTTTATTCCCTGAATGACCACTATACATGCCCATGGGACAATATTACTTTTTGCTGTGAGTTATAAAGGTAGAATAAAATGAAGTCTCAAACCCTGTCCTTTCCTCATAGTCTGAAGCCTAAAATGTAAATATTTAGTACACAGAACAGAAAAAAATAAATAAGTTTATGCACTGCTGTCTGATGTAATATTACTTTACTCTCAAAATTGCCTATAGAAGGAACAGACACAACCAAGAACATATGCTAAAGAGAATGAGAAAAGTGCAGCATCTTCAAATATATTCCATAAGGATTAAAAGGATTTGGAACACATCCTTGTCTCAAATGGACACAAGAGAATTTAAATAAAGATAGTATCTATTCTAAATAGCAGTACAGGTAGAATCAGGGCCAAAGACATAGACCATAAGTTGAATAACCTATACACAGTAGAAACAAGAACCCCTAAGAATCAGAACTCTCCTTATAGAACAAGTTGTCAATAGAGATATAGGGATCCTTGTAAGAAAGATTATAGGGAAAAAAGAATGTTCAAGCATCCCTAGAAGATTAGTAACACACAAAATTATAGATGGGCATTAGATGGGAACAGAGTCAATAGTTCTACATTCTCTGTCGACTTGTAGTATGAGTGATCTGAAATTAATTCATTAAATCATTAGTTGATGAAAATAAGTTAAGTTGCTAAAATTATTAATGATTCACTCTTACCTTCACAACACACAGAATACCTTCATTAGTTGTTTGGTCTGTACTAATTTTGAAATATCCATTTTCATTTCCCTTTAAAATAGTAAAATTGGCCCTCCAGTTGGCAGTGTTCATTAAATCTTTATCTTCTATAGGAATACGTAAGATTTCCACATTATATGTATTTTCCTCCACTGATGTCTCATACTGAAAGAAAAGGAACTCATTAATAATTGCCTTCATAAAGAAAACTTTTCTAAACAAAGTAAAATCTTTCACTCCAAAAATACTTGGTCTTACAGTTTTCACATAGACAATTTTAAAATCATGAATCAAAATTAGTATTGTTTTATTAAATGTCACTAATGGTTAGCACTGCTGTTTGAAGCAAGGGTATTCAAACTGAACTGCATCCCTTTTTTATTTTTTATTTTGAGACAAGGTGTCACTAAGCTGTCCAGAGTTGGCCTGAACCACATGATCCTTCTGCTTTAGCCCTCCAGAGCATTGAAATCACAGGCATGCATAGATGTGCCTGGCTCATTCATTGTTGTCTTTTAAATGAAAGCACTTCCATACTGGCAAAGACTATTGTTACTGACCTTTAAAGAAACATAGATAATAGAAATATTACTACGAACAAGTGAAAAAGATAACAAGGCCTGGTGAAGCATGTCTGTGATCCCTGCACTCTGGAAGACTGAAGCAGGAGGATCTCAAGTTTGAGCCCAGCCTGGGAAACCTGCCCAGACAAGACCTTGTCTCAAAATTAAAGGGAAAATGCAGGGACCAGGGTTCGATCCCCAGCATCACACACCTTGCTGTCCCCTCCCCCAGGCATGCTGAACTGGGGAACTGAAACAGGTGTAGTGGTGTATGCCTGCAATCCCAGCACTGGGGAGGCTGAAAACAGAAGGATCGCTATGAGTCCACACTGCATAGTGAAAGCCTATACCAAATATATAAAATGAAAAAAAAAAATTAAAGGGAATAAAAGGCTGCAGATGTAGCTCAGTGCAAGGCCCTGAATTCAATCCCAAGTACTTCAGAAACAAAGGGATTTATGTATTACATAAACATAGATTTTAAATTACAATAAATATTTCATTAATCCAGATCAAGTAATGAATAAAAATAGACATGACAGGGACAGGTTCTGACACTGTATACTCACAGCATTTTGTCTGAATGTTGGTGCATTGTCATTTGAATCTTTTACTGTTATAATGCAAGTTGACGTCGCCACCAAGCCAAAAAACTGACCATCCATGTCTTGGACTCTCATTATCAACGTGTATCTATCGACAACCTGAAGACAATAAATATTTCATTCACTTTGGACATTTGTTTAGATTCAGAAATGAAACCTCAACTTCACACTCTTCTGTTTGTGTGAGCACAAGCTTTTACGGGATTTCCCGATAGGTGTATACTCCAAGAACTTGGCAGAGAAGGACAGAGCCACAAAGGTAGCCAGTGGTTAAATCACAAAGACATAGCCTGAGAACTTAGACTTATGCCTTAATAGTTAATAACAATGGAATTATGGGAGTCATAGTGAAACACGCAAGAATATTTGAATTTTAGAAAAAATATTCTTACAGAAATTGAGAATAATTTGGAGTAAGCTAAAACACCCACTTACTGAGATCCTACAACAGTCTAAGATAGGGCTTTGTACCTGAGGTAGTACCAGAGAGGACAGAAAGAAAGGGTGACAGAAAACTCCTTGGGAGTGGGAAGCAGGAGGAATTAACAGATTCTATGTCTACGTAAGGAGAGAAAGAAGAGGCGAGTGTGGAGCTCGGTGGTCCAAGACGCACAGGTCGACAGGGCTAACCGAGGAAATACATGAGAGGATCTTCTGAGGACAAGAGCGCCGCTACACAAGATGCCAAGGAGGGGTCAAAACATGAGTTTTATTTTTCATAGTTGAACTTCACATATCCCATAGAAATTCAAGGAAAGAGTTTTAGACGTACCAGGGCATACAGAAAGAGGAGATATACATAAAGGAGAGATCAAGGCCAGAAATACCAATCTGGAAATCATCAGTATGTACATGGTGACCGAAATCAGGACAAGACTCAGACATGCAGGTGAAGGTAAGAAACGCTGAGGACACATGAAGAGCAGCATTTCAAGCACAGGAAAAGAGATGGGGCATATCTTCATCAAAAGATGAAGCCCTGCAGCACTGTAATAAAGCTATTTTGTAGGTATGAAACTGAGTCATCTACCTCCTTTAATAATATAGAACTAAGGGCCAGGGAGACAGCTCAGCGGCATAAGTGCCTCCTTGGTAGAGCAGAGAAACAGAAGAGGACCAGAAATCTAAGAGACAGAAGTGTTTTCCTGAGTGTCAGCAATAGACAGAAGTAACTGTTGGATCTGGCAGCAGAGAGTCACTGCTGACTTCCCTTCGTGGTGTCATGATGGGAAGAAGCAGCCATCGATGTGTGAGAGCAATCCCGACTGCTGCCTTGTTTACGCCCCTTCTCTTCTGCCACCTTTGCTTCTGTGCCCTGGTGCCCTTTACTCCTTCCTTCTGCCTACATTTTACTTGGTCTCCTTTTCATATTGTAAACATCTTGACGCTGTATCATTCCTACATTTCCCCAGACTTCAAGACTGACACGACTGTTTTTCTCTTCACCTAAATTAACTACTGTAACTCCTCCTTGTTCATTTCTTTACTTTGTGTTTTTCTCTAACACACATCCTGTGACTATCACATTAGGTATTTTCCTCTCACACAAAAAGACCTGGCTTTGGCCTCAAAAAATGTAACATGCAAGTCTTGTAATATTAAATTATTTACTTTTAATCTCTTACAAGGGGGGAAAATATGTTTTTACTTGAATACCATGTCTTCTGTACACTCTCCAAAGATATGAAGACATCCGTATGGTCTCCTTCAAACTTTCCCATTTGTTGGTTTTATGATGTGTGTTATCACAAAAATAATCTGATCCTACAAAAATTGAAACTATGATAACTTAATACTCTATACTACTTTAATTCCTTTTCGTAGATTCTCACCATCCTTCCCTTTTCCTTTGGCATCAAATTCCACTGATCTCTCTTTGATGTCTATCCCAGTCATGCTAAACTTTCTATTTATATTATTCTAACTGTAGGGGGACACTGCAGCATTGTAGGAAAACTATTTTGTGTGCATAAAATTCAGTCATCTGCCTCAGTTAATAATGTACAATGAGTGAAACATGGACTGGTAAAATGGACAAAGAAACAATCACAACAAAATATGAGAAGATGCTGTGGAATAATTTCAGTTGGGTGAGTCAGTCTTTCCAACCATAACACTTCTCCTCTCTAGATTGGCTATAGTACCTAGAGGGTCAAAGAAGAAAATGATAACACCCAAATAAAATTATGCATAAAGAATTTGAACAGAAATTACTAGACACGCAGCAATATGCTATGACTATCTTCCAAATAGCGTAACAGTTTTTTAAGGATGCATAAGATGCAATGAAACTAATCATTTTCTGATAAAAAGTACATGTATCTATAACTGAAGAAAGATTAGGTATGATATACACTTATGAAGCAAGTAAAACTTACTGTTCTGTATGAGAATTAAAACTTTTACTGAGCTGGAACCAACCAGCCACACACATGAAATGAAATAAAATAATATTCAGTAATAATAATAACACGAATCATTTTCCTAAGAAATACTCTTCTCACCCTTTGTAGACATTGCGCTATATTTCTAGTCCTTATGGCTCCTCTGATATAAAGTAGGAATAATGCTTTTTAAAAAAGGGAAAAATTGTCATGAACTCCTATTGTCTTCTGTGCTTTATGTAAAATAAGTTTTTAATCCAGAAGATAGCAAATTATAGAACACTGGGCTGCGGGAGCTCAGCCCGCACACAACGCATCCCCCAGCGGAAGTTACCTCTCTGTCCAGGTAGTGAGAGACCGTAGTGATGACGCCTGTGCTGGGATGCACAGAAAAGAGCCCGGGAGACCTCGGTGTCTGCTCCACAATGCTGTACTTCAAGCGCGTGTGCATCGTGTCCGGCTCATCCTTGTCGGTGGCACAAACCACACCCACTGAAGTTCCTATCCATTTAAGAAAAAAAAAAAAAAGTTTAATGTCCACAAGTACGAGGTACAAATTTGCAAACTTCAACAATGATCGTGGAAAGCTTGCATTCCTTAGCAGAGAGATTACGTCTTTAGATAGGCTTGCTGAAGATGTCCTGAATGCGTAATACAAAACACTTTGCTGCTGAGACTCAGAGTATACTTGGATTCTGTCCACAGTTAAAACTTTAAGAGTAAATCATTAAAAAGAAGCAATTAACAACAATTGGAAATGACTTCAATATATGTTCCCCAAAAATTGCAATAATAAATCTAGCTTGAAGGATAAGAAATTCAGAATTCTTTTTAAGTTGGATTTTTGGGGGCTGGTGAGATGGCTCAGTGGTCTAAAGCACCTACTTAGAACAAGCTTAGCAAAGCACAGGGACCGTGGTTCAATCCCCCAGCACCACATGCCAGCCAGCCCCGCCCCCTGGTGGGCTGAGCTGGCCACACACACACACACACACACACACACACACACACACACACATAAATAAATAAGTTGGATTTTTGATTAATAGCTAGGTAGGACCAGTTTGGAATACAATTGTATAGACAGCCAAGTACACTTTTCGTAGCTCAGTCTTTATTCCTCCTTTCTAAGCTCTTTTACTTTCCCCTTCTTTTTTTTCACTGTAGCTATATTCTGATTTGATTCACTGTCCCTGAGCAGCTTAGCATCCCAGCCTTCATGGGCCTGAAGCTGTGGGTGTACTGCGCTTCCAGCCCCAGGGCTCACCGGGGCATCAGTGAGTTTGCCCTTGATTCTTTCCTGGCAGGACCAACAGAACAACCTCCTCAAGAAAATTCTGGGACCAGTCATCCCTCTTTGAAAAAGGAAAAATGGAACAGAGTCACAGAATTATGAATCAAGATGTCAAAGTGGAATGCAAACAGGAAAAGTAGATATAAAGATGCACTGAAGATCTAGGTAGCTCCTAGAAACCTTCCCGGGACAGTTCGCCAAGTCAGCCTTTGTGACTGAGCCTACAGTCCCTCCACTTCATTACTGGTGCTTAATCTGCACGTTACAGGTCTCAGAAGGCATCGCGAATGCCACATTCCAGGGCCAAGGAAACTGACATGCTTTGCTTTCCCACATGGGGGAAGAAGTGCTTAGGAGTTTCATACATTTCTCTAAAGTTATGTAGCACTTATTCTAAACACACAGTGAAGTAGTAGTTTTACAAGAAGACACAATGAGAAAAAGAGGTTAAAAAAAAACAAACTGTACACACAGTGGGTACCATTGGATCCTTCTCTAAGTAAAACTTCATTAAAATACCTGCACTGCTTTATAGTAGTACTGATCTTTGACCCAGGAGGTTATTTCTTGGAGGTGCGAAGAATGATAAGTGCACACAAGAGAAAACAAAATAAACTACATAAACAGAGGAGGGTACAAAGCTTCAAGGCCTGTTATCTGCCACCACAGTTAATTAATATCACATTGACAAAGCCAAAAATCCTGCATACCCCAGATAGTACAAGTTGACAAGAACGGATAGGAATCAATATTTGCTGATAAGGGAAGACAAGCCTGTTATTATCTCAGCAGGACGTGGTCATGAGTATAAAAATATCAATGGCTCAAAAAATATACACAAATACATTTAGCATATAAATAGCCTTACCAAGTCTACTACTTTCTGGAACTTCAAAGTTATAAATTGTTTCTGTGAAAACGGGATGGTTGTCATTTTCATCTTCTACTTTGATGGGCAGTGGAAGAGGTGTATCTGCTGAATACCCGTCAGCCGTGGACGCATAGGCAATCAACTGCAAAACAGGCAAAGGCAACTTCTGTTAACAGCAGGTGACAGCAAAAGACAGACAAGGTGTTCCACTATTTCCCCACTGAAAGGCTGATGAATCAAAGGCAGTACACGCTCCGACGGACTGCTCTCCTCTCCAGCATGAAATGACCACGCTGAGTTGAACACTGGCTCACTGAATATAACACAGGGAATGTCGCTCCACTTGCTTATCCTGCGCTGTTTCTTTGTCCTACAAACAAAATCTTTCTCCAATAGAGAATCACTCCCCGAGCCACAAAGAAAGCGCATGGCACCAGAGATCATGCTACATTACTGTGAAAATTGTCAGAGCTGTCTCTTATTGACTATCAACTAAAGCACAGCAGAATTTTGGCTTGCTAGCCACTTGTGGGACTTAGTTTCCCACTTGTATTTACTTAACAGAAAACTGTTTGTGCTGCATGACCAAAAAATAGTAGAGCACTAGAAAAGAGGGTCCCATCAGGTAAGGATAGACATACCCTGAAGTACAACTAAGTAGAGACAGAGACAGTACCTCCTAATACACACTCAACATTAAACCTCCTTGCTTCATTTTAGGCTCAACTAACAAAAGTTGAGCTAAGGAATTGAAGAATTCCTACCATTTCCATTTTCTTTTGATTTTAAGATATCCTCAAAGAACAGAGTGAAGGAAGACAAAATAGATAAAAAGAGTGCAAGAAGAAAGACAGTTTAATAATATAAAATCACTTATCAACAAAACTCTTACATCAAACACATCATATTCCTCACGATCCACTGGCCGGGTACAATACAGATTTCCAGTGTCTCTTTCTATGAAAAACAAATTTAAAGGTTCTTGGTCAACACCACGTCCACTTAGCGAGTAGAAGACGGTATAGTTCTGGGCTGCATCAGACTGCACCTAAGAAGAAAATATATACATAATAATGTAAAAATGCAATTCAAGGAAAATGCTGGTTTAAAAAAAAATTCACAGTTTTTTATTTTTAAAAGGAAAAGGGCTCTCTTTAAAAAAGAAAAAGAAAAAAAGAGAATTTAGATAAGGGCAACATCACCTGATGTTTCTCATTTAAAACTACGTAATTGAGTATATACAAAGAAACATTGTATGCACTCAAAATAATGACCTTATGTATACATGTACCTCATCTGTTTATATTTATGCACCATGTATTTTTTTAATCATTTTTTTCTGTACTTTAGGGAAGGGTCTACAGGGTGGTGAGGGTCTCACTCCTAGATCGGACTTGTAGTGATCCACCTGTTTAAAACCTCCACAGGCGCGTGCCACAACACCCCATCTCAATTGCTGTCTCAGCGCGCCCCAGGGGCGGGGCCGGCCAGGGGCATTGAACCTCCAGCCTGTGAGCCTGCCTGCATGTGTTTTAATCCACTGAAATATTTGGCCGGCCCCTGTGTACCATGTATTAATTATCCTCAGCAAGTCAATTTTTTTTTTTTTTTTTTTTTTTTTTTTTTTGTGGCAGAACAGAGGATTGAACTCAGTCCCTTGTGCTTGCCAGGGAAGTGCTTATTCCACTGAGCCATCTCCCTGGCCCTCTAAGCAAGTCAATTTACACAATAGTCATCATACACTAGATTTCTAGCAACTATTCTTTGTAAAACTAAAAATTTGTATCATTTGGCTAACATCCCCTCTTTCCTCTGGCTCTTAAGGACTGGTAACAAGCATGTTATTGTTTCATGGTTAAATTCTTTTATATTCCACAGATAAGCAATATTATACAGTATTTATCTCTGTGTATAATTTATTTTGCTTATTGTAAAGTTCTCCAGCTTTATCCATGTTGTTGAAAATGACAAAAATTCTTATTTGTGTGTGTGTGAGAGAGAGAGAGAGAGAGAGAGAGAGAGAGAGAGAGAGAGAGAAGAGCAAGACAGAAGAGAGAGGGAGACTGATGTAAGTATTTATCTGTCAATGGACACCACAGTAGTTTCCGTATCTTAACCATTATGAGTAGTGTTGCAATGCAATAGGTGTACAAATATGCCTATGACGACTACTTTAATTTCCTTGGAGCACACGGACATTCCTCACTTAAGCACCCACCTAAGGGCTATTCAGATGTAAGACTAACGTGTGCTGTTGGAACTTAGGGCCCACCACTGGGCCTTACAACCCACATTCAGCCTTATAGGCAGTGTTGGCTTATGGTGGCTTCTGCAGTCCAATACAGTAATTTTTACCAATTATACTACATGGTATTGTAGTTTTATGTTCTATTACATGGTACAGTACTACATGTGAGGGTCATCCAAGTAAAGGCAAAGTCATCAAGCTGGGAATTTCCTTTGACTATTTCTTTGTTTTGAATATTATAATGTAAGCAAAATTCCTCATTTAGTGACCAGCTCAGTTAACAACCTAGCTTGCAAGACTGTAAGTTGGTCATTGAAAGAGCAATGCCTGTATATCCAGAAGCAGAACTGCTGGATCGTGTGGTAGTTCTACTCTTAATTGTTCTTAAGGACTTTCTACCGTCTTCCAATTGATACAAGTGTACACGAGCTCCCACCAGCAGCATACAAGGCCTCCTTTCTTTCACATCTTCGACAACACTTGTGTCTGGTCTTTCCTGCTACTAGCCTTGCTAATAGGCATGAAGTGATACATCTCATTGTGGCTTTTGCTTGTAATGATTAGTGAGGTCACACACCTTTTCATGGCCCTGTTGGCCACTTGCTTGTTTTCTTTGGGAAACTGTCTACTATTAAGCTCCCTTGCCAATCCATTCAGCTGGTTAGCTATTTATTGCTAGTGAGTTAGCAAGTTCTTTGTTATTTTGAACATTAACTCCCTACCAGATATATGGTTTATAATTTTTTTCATTATATAGACTGACTTTTAAAAGACATGTATTTTGCATGTATTTCAAAGAGGTAATACTTTTTTATATTTTAAAAAAGCAATACTAGGAGCTGGGGCAATGGCTCAGTGGAATAAGTGCTTCCCTGGCAAGCACAGGGCCTGAGTTTGAGCCCCAGTTCTGCCAAAAAGAAAAAAGAAAAGAAAAGAAAAGTAATACTTAACAGTTTTAAAAGGACAAGACTCAATTTATTCACATAGATTTTTCTTTGGGTAAAGAAAAAAGCAAGGAGACTCTAGAAAGTGACTACAAACAAGGAGGGGAGAGATAGTGAAACCCTAGACTAACCTGTAACATACAGAGAGGTGAGTGGTGTTGATTCTGGACACAATTTAAAGAGTCAGCTAAAGGCTTTGCTAGTACTTGGATGTGTGGAGAAAAATAGAGGTCAAAGATGATACTACCCTGAGGGTCTTCACATAGGCCTGTACCTATTCTGTGTTTCTTCTTTGGTATTAGAATGTGTAGCTGACTGAAAAGATACCTGAAGAAAAGTATCTTTCAGTGTCCCTTGAAATAAGTCATGATTTCATTAAAAATCTGGAAGGTAGGCAGTGAACAAAAATGATATAAATAATAATGATAAGCATAAACAATATACATAAAAATAAGCAGCTGAACAAAACCCAGGCTGTGCTCTGAAAACAAAGGAGTATGTTCTCCCTTTTGAACACTGTGGTGAGTCAGAACAGTGGCGGCAAAACTAAAAAATAAAATGCCTGATGCCTGGTGTCTTTTTCGTATTAAAACTTGTTACAGCACCTCACTTGCATGGAAGAGCAAAGAGCGAGTGCCTCACCTAAGCCACTGTCACTTGGGATCTTAGTAAAACAAAGATATTTTAATATCCTGTAACAATCAGAAATGAAAGCTTAACTGTGAGAATAAATGGACATGGCCAGTGGGGCTCAACACTAATGCCAGAATGATTCAAACAAAACCAAGCCCAAAATGTAAAATTTTCCAGAATCTTCTCTGATTTTCATGAATATGTGGTTGCAATACATAATTAACATATTCACCACAGGGAATTCGTGCATATATGTGTCATATCCTAAACCTTTTCACTGCACTTCCCCCTTCTTCCCTGTTCATCCCATCCTTAGATCTCTTCCCATCTCTAAAACATCTTCCTATTTCCTATTATGTGTCTAGAATCTCTTGAAACCAGATTTCAATATATGTATATAGACAGTCAAATGTGCTTATACAAGATTCAGAAGTCATAAGTGAGGCAAATGTCTCATTTGGAAAGTTTTCTGTTTTGCTGGCAACTGTTCTGCTGGCATTTGTTCCTTTTCTTTCTTTTCTCTTGTTTTGAAATGGGTTGGGTTGGGTTGGGTTGGGCTGGGTTGAGTTGGGTTGGGTTGGGGTAGCAACAAAAGTTCCAATAGTTACTCACCAGCTTTGTAGGTGATGAGAGATAGGCACTGGGTCAGTGTTTTTGCTAAAACTGGCTGGAACAACCAAGAGGCTGATGCAGAGCCACACGAGGAGGAACAGCCTCTTACTGCAGAGTTTTCCTCTCTGAGGCAGTGGCACTTTGGTTGGGCATCAGTATTTACTATAGAGAAAGCACTATGTCCCTTGGTTGTAGGTTCTGTGGTGGAGCTAGCTTGCAATTTGTTCCTAAAATGTTCTTCAGCCCTTCCTTCCAACAACCCTGCAATCTATTTCATATGCTGTAATGAATCCCTATCAGTTAGCTACATGGACAACCATTCTCTGCACTAACAAAGCCTGAGGAAACACACAAATGTCCAAATAGCTAGAAGCAATGAAGAGCCGCTGAGATGGAAGGGTACTGTTTAGAAGAAAAACACAGCATTTGAGTTGTGTATGTAAGTTTGAAATGTCTGTTAGACTTTCATCTGGAAATACCAATTAAGAAGTTTGGGTTGGAATGAAGATATCACAAATATCCAGAAGAGGGGCCAGGGAGATGGCTCAGTAGAATAAGCGCTTGCCTGGCAAGCGCAAGGGCATGAGTTCAATCCCCGGTTCCAAAAAAAAAAAATACAGAAGAAAAATGTTCTTAGAGCAATCAGAAAGGTAAGATTAATGAACAGTACACATAAACAAGCAATAAACAAGGTTCAATGACTGAGCTCAGGACTTCTCCAAAGTTCAGAGACTGGGGAAGAAAGACATAAAAAAAAGTGTGACCATGAAGAAAATGGAGAACTGAATAAATAGTTTCCCAGAAACCAACCAAGGAAAGTATTTAAGGAAAATGGAAAAGTTAAATATGTCAAACGTGCATAAGCCAAAGCAATGAATACTGAGGCAGTAACTGATTTAGCAACCGTAATGACTAAAATCGTGTGTGATCAGTGCAACTGTGATAAGCAGAAGTCATTTCTTCATATGCCTCTGTAGTGCATAAGATATAATATTCATGAAGCAATAACAAGGGCCTAGTAGTACCGAACGGAATACCAAACAAGTAACACAGAGATTTCATCATCAGTATTAAACAGCATCCACTGTAATAAACATTTCAGAGGAATAAAGCAAACACAACGATGTTCCTCTCATCACCCTGCTCACTAAGTGCTGCCACCCTTTGCCCTGTGTCCTTCACTAAGCCAATGAACTACACGAGAGCAAGGGCTGGGCCTAAGTTTATTTCCATCTTTAGTATTTACAACAATGTCTACCACAAAATACAGTAGGTGCTCAAAAACTGTGTGCAAAATGAAAGAAAAATAAGCAATGATTTTCCAATGGCTGGAGAGTCTACTCTTGTATCACTGGTATCTGTCTTAGTTACTCTTCTCTTGTTGATGAGATAAATTACCTGGCATGCAAAATGAAGGAAGGAAAAGTCAATTTAGCTCACAGTTAGTAGAGGTTTCAGTCCATACTCAGCTGGCTCCAAGGCAGGGCGGCACATGGCAGAGGGCAGCCGTTTATGGCAGCAGAAAACAGGAAAGAGCAAAGGGAGGGGCAGTAGCTGTGCTTTCCTCCTTACATTGTAATGCGGATTACCCACCCAGGGCTGGAGTAGCACTCACACCCATAAAGCCAGCCTTTGATCATGTATTAATCACAAACTCTAGAAGCTATCCCAGTGACTGCATGAGGCTTGGGGGGACAACTAGACACAAACCATCACAGTATCTTAGTCCTTTTCTTTTTCTCATTTTAGTCTTCTATTGCACTTCACCACCACCTCCAGGAAGGTTCTGTTTTGCAAATACTTAACCTGAGAAAAGCAAACTCTGGGAATTAAAGCACTCTCATCAGAAGGAATGGAAACTTACTTGTTGAAGAAACAAGGGAAAGGGGCCCAAGGAATTCTCTTGCATTGAACAAGGAATAGGTGCCCATCTCCTCTTGGATCTCCTGAGAACAGCTTCTTTAGTAGACCTTTTCTTCAGTATCTGGATTCAGAGAAAGAAAAAATAAATAAAAGCACCACAGCATGCTTCATTGTAAAATAGCGGGCAGCTAGCATCTCCCTAGCAGCTTGGTCTCAGGAACTTCCCATACTGACACTAAAGCTGGTTGATGAAGCCTTTTGGGATTGGAGAGGTAGAAAGGATTTTGAACATTTCATAAGCTAGGAGGATTTTCTTTTAGATACCTTCAACACTGACCATATTTTCAGGTTAGGAAAATCATCCCTGTATTCTTAGTTCTTCTTGCCCTGCCCCACATAGAGATAGAGTATATATTCTCTCTTAAATAATCTCTACGAGGCATTTACCTCTCATATCTGTTAAAATCTCCCACTCTCAGGTGAACCAGAGAAAGCAAATGCATGTCCTTCATAGCCTGCTTTACCTGCATTAGGCAATATGGTCACCACCAGGGACTACTGACCATATGATTATGCTAACTATAATTAAATGAAATAAAGAGTTCTGCCTTTCAGTTGTACTAGCCACAAGCCAAATATTCAGTAACATTTGTACTGGGCCACCATATGAAACAGTACAGGATACAGAACATTTCGGTCACTACAAAAAGTTCTGTCAGATTTTCTTAGTGATGGCCATGTTGTTTCAAAAAGAAATCCAATTTGGTGACAATGAATTATGAAATAACTTTAGCAAATACTGAATAAAAGAGTCAAGTAGTCATTTTAAATTAGCTTTATCATCAGTATAGATAACATAGATCAGGTATAATCCAAACTAAACCACTTAACATTGTGTGACTAGTCTCATAACTGCTTTCCTCATGGTCAACAGTTTACACTAATGGGAAAAGTCCTACACAGTAAAGAACAGCTGTCACGTGACTCCGGCGCACAAAAGCCATCAGCTAGAATTCAGAGATGGAAGAGACCTTCATGCAGGAGGTGTCATCGGAATTTCAAAGAGCCATACCAAAGCAAATGTTTCACTGGAGCTTAAAAAGAGAGGGAGCAAGGAACAAAGAGGCAGAAATGGGAAGATGAAGAGAAGGAAGGGAAAGAAATGAGGGAAGGAAAGATATGAGGGAAGGGGAAAAGATATGAGGGGAGGAAAGATATGAGGGGAGGGGAGGGGAGGGGAGGAAAAGTCCATCCCCAAAGATCCTTTGCTTCTCTCTGCCATTTTTACAAAGAGTATTTTAATGAAAAAAAAAAAAATGCCTGAAAGTACTAGGGACACGCTGAGTACCTTCTTCTGATGTTCCAGGACCACAGTTAGCTCCTTCTGCATCTCTGTCTCCATATCAGAAAGCCAGACAGTGAATGCTCTTTTCCCCTCGGGCAGCACCACAGCCCTGGTGCTGTACACGGACCCATCCCGGAGAACTCTGAAGTCAGGGTCCCGTGACTGGACGAGGTCTGCGGACCTGAGGCATGCTTTCCAATTAACTGCAAGGAAAAGTTTCTCAGTTGTCAGGTAGAAACACATACAGAGAGGGAAATAAAAAAGTAAACGATTTAAATGAACTTAACAAATGTGGCAAAAACCAATTAACTCTGAGTTTACCAAATACCTTAACCAGTTCTTTCACATCATTTTTTAAGGGGTAATTTCCTTTCAGTTAAATAATTGATAATTACTGATTGTACACTTCTATCAAACAAAGTGTTTCATACTTTGCTATGTTTTTAGTAGGCTCATGAATGTGACCTTCAATTACAGTGGGGTAGGCACTACAATTATGACACAGTTACACGACACACCCCCTCATGCACCTGAGTAAACACACAGAGTTTTCCTTCACAATACTCTGAGTTTGTCTTCAGCCAGAAGTTACACAAAGAGACACAAGGAACAATGAAGGGGATGAATTAGGCAAGCCGTGAAGTAAGAACAATTGATCTGTGAATCTTCCCCCGAACCTCTCTGTACACTTTCTCTCCACAGATTTAAGATACTGTGTGTGTCCCTAGCCTTTCAGGACCCCATGGAGACTCTGCATGAGGTCTTCTCCTTTAGGAGCTTTGAACTCTAGTAGAAGGTAATTCTTTTAAGTACCAAAATATGGTGTTTTCTAGCAAGACAAAGCCTATCTCAATCTCACAAGAACCAGTAATGCAAACGCAGGACCACTAGGGGTGGGGGTGCTGCCAAAAAATACCTGGCCACGGCCACACCAGCCCTTAGTGGGGAAGCTCAGAAGTCTGGGAGCTCACAGCCTAGAGTGGACACTATGAGTCCATACTGGCAAGGCCCATGGTGAGGCTGACCCGCAGTGGTCACCATCACTTCCCATCCTGCCACGAAAGTCAGAGGCCCAAGCAACTCGTGCAATCTGGAGGCAGTGGGGACTCCAGCCCCAAAGCAAGGAAGCAACATTGTTAAGTATATTGGATTTGATGAACATCTTAAAAATAACAGCTCTGGGAAGGAAGGTTGGATCCCCCACGGAGCTAGTGCAGAGAGCTGCACACTCGCCCAGAGCCCCCTTCTGGCCTGTCTCCATATGAGAAAGAGACAACGGGTGCTAGGAAGTCTTCGTTTCTCACCATCTCTCCAGAGCCGACACATCACTTCTGTAGATACCCACAGGCAGACTGGGAAAGCAGGGAAAGCCAGGGACAAACCTGCTGAAGGCTTGAGAGCACACCAGAGAGGAGGAGGAGGAGGAGCCAAGAGGAAAGATCTGGAAACTGAATAGAGAACAGGGGCAAGAACTGCAGAGGAATCAGAGAGAGGCAGGCAGCCTCTAGAGAGAGGTTCAGCAGGAGACTTGTCCCAGGTCTCCCAGTGTGTCTTTTAATGCAATCACCCCCTTACCAAGGATCTTGCAATACCCAAACTGCTCTTAATTAAACTCTTTTCACCAAAAAAATAAACTAATAAAATCTTTCCACCCATGCTTCACCTATGAATTGGTCAGAAAACACACTGATAACACTCTAAACAATCACCTCTCAAAGCATTCATGCGCTCCTGGCGGGTGGTGCTATCATTTTAATCCAAATCATCACCCGCGAAGATGCTTCGCCTAAAAGAAGCGAATGCTTCAGGGACGAAGGTGTATTTCCTTCATCTGCATATTGGGCTTTGGAACTAACAATTTCCGGTCCAGCCCCTGGAGAAGCACATCTGACCTCTGTTTATATCCCTTTACTTAATTCTTCATAGGAAAGAAAATGTCTTCCTTCAGTTCAAAATAGCCAAGGCACATGGGCCAGAATGGGGCACTTTGTTTCAAAGTTAAATTTGATATCTTTGGGATAAACTACCACTCTTTGGGGAAAAAAATTATGACACTTTCCTCCAATATCCTCTGCACCTGGACAGGCTTTCCAGCTGCTGGAAAAGTCGAAGGTTTCCCAGCTTTTCAGAGTGGGTGTGCCACTGGGCTCAGCTTCTCAATGCAATGCCTCACCTTGCGGTGGTCCTTAACGCAGTTGTCGCCTGATACAAACCCCGCTCGGGGTCTCTGGGCTCCTTATCGCTACTTCCCTAATGACTGGAACACCACAGCAATAAAAGCACCACACGTTATATATAATTAGTTGTATAGTTTTTAAATTGTTAAAACACAGGTTACTACAAAAACGTCACACATTAGAACATTTGAACCACATCAACTACGAAATTCAACAGGGTTATAAAGAACAAAATCATATATTAAAAATAATCCTGCCTTGTTTCTACTTATGAGTAAATTCAAGCCAACTCCAAATGGCATGCATCGTGTATCATAATAGGGAAGCTAATTTACGTGAACTAAATAAAGAAAGGCTTCTGCGAAGTCTCTCACCTCTGCCGATGAGCTTGTCTGCCTCGAGTTTAGAAGGCACATTGAACATCACATTTTTACAGGCTTCACCAGCAAAACTGAAGACCTAGAGTTTAAAAAAGATCATATTGATACAACAGAAAATAAAGAACAAAAGCCATACGACCATCTCCACGGATGCAGTCGAGTAACTGACAGATTTTAATTCCCATGTATGACTAAGTCTGGATTTGCAAGGAAGAAAACTGTCTCTGTTCACAGGTAACATAATCTTTTATGTATAAAACCCTAAGAAATCCACTTAAAGAACTACCCAAACAAATAGTCCAGCATAGCTACAGGAAATAAGACAGAAAAAAACAAAACAAAAGAAGATTGCATCCTGCCAGGGAGATGGCTCAGTAGAGTGAGTGCTTCCCTGGCAAGCGCAAGAGCCTGAGTTCAATCCCCAGTTCAGCAAATAAAAAAAAAAAAAAGCATCCCTGTCCATTAGCAATACAAAATATGAAAAAGCCTAACTAAACACCCATTTTGCAATCATATCAAGAACAAAATATTTTGAAATATATTCAGTCAAAGAAGTATAAAGTTATACACTAAAAATCATAAAACACTTAAGTAATAAAACTTAAAAAGAACCAAATAAATAGAAAGATGTCCTATTTTCCTGGATCAAAAGATGTATTCCCCAAACTCACCTACAGATTTAATGCAATTCCTATCAAATCCTCACTGCCAGGGGTCAGGGAGATAAACGGCATAAGCACCTGCCTGGCAAGTGCAAGGTCCTGAGCTTGATCTCTGGTACCGCCAAAAAAAAAAAAAAAGAACAAAACAAAACAAAAAACAACACCCCACTGCCACTTCTGAAGAATCAATAATTAATCCTCATGGAAATTCAAAGGGCCCTAACAAATCTGAGAATAAACAAAGTTAGAGAACATACGTTTCCCAATTTCAAAACATGTCACAAAACTACAACACATAGTAATATGGCATAATGATAAACACATTATTTAAATGGAATAGAATTTAAATCATAGCAGCAATCCTTTACTTCTTTAACGTCAGGAAGCTTATTTAGCTTTGAAAACTTCCAAATAAAGACACCTGTTCAACTCACAATAGGACCAGTAAATACCTAACATAGAAAAGTTACAAATTCCTAACAAATAAACAGCACCCCAAATGGAGCTCCAACATAAGGGTTAGAATTAAAACTACTTAAAGGCAGACTTACGAGCAAATCTCCATGATTCTGGCCTAGTCAATGGGTTTCTTAAATATGACACCAAAACCCACAAAGCAATAAAATTTGAAAAAGAGGACTTAATTAAGATGTATATTTTTCCTTTTCAAACTTCATGATAAAGAAATTGAAAACCCCCAGAATGGGAGAAAACATTTTCAAATCATAATACAGTGACCCACCTCCATGATGTATGCAGGTATTTTGAAACTCAATAATAAAAAAGTTGGCAAAGCATGTGAATAGACATTATGCAAAGAAGATAGGCAACTAGCCAGTCGGCAGATGGAAAGACGCCCAGCATCATTAGGACTTGGGCAAAGGCGAATCCAAAGCACGGTGAGATGCCTGCTGGGACAGCTAACAAGACAGAAAATAAGTTGTTGAGAAGAATGTGGAAAAACTGGAACCCTCACATGGGACCGATGAAAATGTGAACCGATACGGTCACTTTGGAAACAGTTCAGTTTGTCGGCATGAAACACAAGCTCAAGATAAGATCCAGTATTCCCACTACATCTAAGCAAAACAAGATTCTGTATCTACACAGAAAAGTACACCGGACCAGCAAGAGCAGCATTACTCACAATAGCCAAGAAATGTGCACGGCCTACACTTCTGTCACCTGGTGAACGCAGCAACAAACTGTGAGATACCCACAAATGGGATTATTCTAAAGCATGACCCTGAAAAATATCCTTAGTGAAAAGACAAAAACTATAGGGCCTATACCTATGATGGTTACATTTATGGTAGAACCTCCAAAGGAGACTACATGAAACAGAGTAGATTAGTGATTACTTAGGGCTCAAAATAAAACAGAAAATGCGCTTGGATTGGGTATTAAGCTTGTCAAAGTCATGGAAATAGTCTACATTAGACTGTTTCTGTGATTATACATTTGCTGAAATCTATTGAACTGTGTCACTTTGCACAGGTAAATCTTATGGAATGCAAATTATACCTCAGTAAAGCTGCTTGTGACAGAAAAGAATACTCATTGACAGAAAGATGACCCTTTCCATATCTGCTTTTACAAACTGGTAGGGACAAGCTCTTTCACATTTACAAAAACAGTTTCAGAAAACAGAACAACAAAGAAGCAAATAAGTTCTAATATAGCTACATATAAAATACTTTTACGTAAAATTAAAAGATTAATAGTGATATATATTACACTATGTTATGTTATATTATACATGGCATGATCAAAACTACAGTGAATGTTTACTTTTTAAAAAAATATATTACATTAGGGGGCTGGTGAGATGGCTCAGTGGTCTAAAACACCTACTTAGAACAAGCTCAGCAAAGCAAGGGACCGCGGTTCAATCCCCCAGCACCACATGCCAGCCAGGCCCGCCCCCTGGTGGGCTGAG